GTTTTACGGCGATCGCAACTGCATAAGGTCATATGAGCGCGCGAGACAAATTAAACCTTTTTCAGTTGGTAGGACATTTTGAATTTTGCCCTGTTGGCGGCCGAAACCTACTCTTATCGATTTTAGATCACCAAGGGATCTTTAATGTGCTCAACTTGCACACGGGACCTCCGAGAAGGCTAAGTGTTCTTTCTTACCAAAAGAACGGGGACCTGCAAAATTAATATCTTAACGTTTGGTTTTTGGGGGAGGGTTTTAAAAAAATCAGAGGTGCATCTCTCTCTCTCTCTCTCTCTCTCTCTCTCTCTCTCTCTCTCTCACTCTCTCTCTCTCTCTCTTTCTCTCTCTCTTATCTTCTCTACTCTTACAGTAGAGTTAAGTTCTCTGCTTCAAACTGACGTCACTAGTCCATCGTTTAAGCTACTGCGGACTCCTAATCGTGTGGTTGCCGGCTCTGGGGTTCGAGGCTCAGTCAGATCTACTCGAGATTGTGTCCTAGGAAAGGTTTTTAACATTTTTTCTCACTTCACCTACTTTTGTGAATGGGTTTCAGGTCACAGACACCGAAAAATCTCATCAGTATGGTAGCGTTTTGGCGCATGTAAAATGGCACCTTGCACTGTTTGTCTTCCACAAAGTTGTTTCATAATAATATTATCATGCCCTCTCGGGAAAACGTAATGTGGGTTGCATAAAGCGTGCTGTTCAACTGGGATTTGCGCTATACAAACGGTATTTACTGCTACATGTGATTTATAGAAAAATTTAGTAAATAATTGTCAGTAATACATAAGTATACAACAGATAAGGTCATAACTAACTCATATGCAAAACCACGGAAGAATTCATTTGACAACAAATATACAGAGATGGATTTTATGGGTCCAAAAACTTAACCTTCGATTTGTTTCAAAACAGCATTTTTCGGGATAGCCCCCTTGTGCTTAAAAGCGACCAATTGGTCTACGTGCGTTCCGTCGGGTGCTAAACTCCAACAAAGACAAATCCAAAACGTAAAATAAAATCACCTGCTGGGTCAACAGAGAGAGTGTTTTAATTGAGCTGTTGAGTTGTTTGTTTTTGGGGTTTTTTAGTAGGAGTTTCACGGCACTATAGACTCAGTTTCTGTCATGTACGAGAACTGTTGGGACGAACACGTTCTTTTTCCTTTGATTTATTCTGCTAAGAAGATCAGACTCACTTTTTGGTGCCGCTTTCGAAGTCCTCCTCAAAGAGTACTACCCTCTTGTTGAATCTGTCGTACTCTCCGAAGAACCGCTCGTAGTAAGTTTCGCCATAGTTCCATCTGGAGGCGCGGAACTATGAAGTGAAATAAAAATTAAACGTGTTGGGTCAGGTTATGCCGATCTTTTATTAACGAATCATACAAATGAAACGCTATAAACAGAGTAGGGAAGTAAAACATTGAAGGCATGTAATAATAATAATAATAATAATAATAATAATAATAATAATAATAATAATAATAATAATAATAATAATAATAATAATAATAATAATAATAATAATAATAATAATAATTAATAGCATTTTTATAGCTCATAACCCCGCTCTACCGCAAGCTCTGTGCGCTTTACACTATATATTATAACCCAGCAGAACACTCATTAACATTCACACCAAGGAAGCACACAGTGCAAGCAGCTGATTAAGCCCTCAGACACAAACAAACTTTTACAAGATCTTTCTCTGTCTATAACTGTTGATTCCTAGATTTTAGCATTCATAATTCTTGCTGCAGTAGATCAGAAATAAGCTCCTTCTTGAAATGTATATCGACCTGAACTTTAAAAAACTATATCCAGGTAACAATCTTGGTTATTTTTCGACCTAGGATGAGACCCTCAACAGGCTATCACACAAAACACTTCTTCGTGATACTCTTATCAGATAATGTTGTTGTTCATAAAAGTTCAAGTCCTTGTACCCTCTGGACCTACTTAAATTGTAGATTTAGCCTATACAGAAGATGGTATTCAGATAGGGAAGTAGGGGAAAAGGGAGGGGGGGAGGACAAAAGCAGAGAGAGAGAGGGAGAAAGAGAGAAGGAGAGAGGTGGGGAGGTGGGGGGGGGGGGGGAATATAGTAATAAGCTCTCTTTCAACAAAGGTATTTACTGATGAAAGGTAACCGATGACAATTGTGTACACCTTGTCCTGATCAAATATCAAGACAGAGAGTTCAAATGCAGCAATGAAAGTTTGAATAACAAAACTGTCAAAATATATTTTCAACTAGACGGTTCAAATTTAATACAATAGAAAACGTTTTAATAAACGTCTCTTGGATTAAGATTTTTTTTTTATGTTTTGTTTGGTCGCTGGTCTGCAGAATTTCCATTCAAAGTTTTCTAGACAAATGTACATTAATAATTGGAGCTTGAAAATGTCTAACGCGGACAGCAAATGTCAGCTCAAATATAACCACAAGAGATCTCAAATGAAAACACTAGGGAAAGCAAATTCAACCTTATGAAATA